AAGTTGCTTTAAATCTGCATCCAGTTGGTAAGCCTGAGAAGTCAGAGTCATATAAAGCTGCTTGACTTGATCGGAGACCTGGTCAAGTCTGCTCGTCAGAGTATCAGTTCTAAGAGTCAGCAGGTCAAGCTTTGAATCAATCTTTGTCAGAGTTCTATTCTGGCCGATCGCATTCTGGGTCTGCCAGTTGAGAACTTCTTCTGCTGCTGAGACTGGTCTAGCTTCACCAGTAGGAGAGATTTCTGTTGGAACAGAGAAAGGTCTTACTGTAACCTTTGTTTCTCTGTTGGTTCTTCTTTCAAGAGGAGGAAAATCCTGCTCATAGGGATCCATCATTGCTATACACGAGACGGATTGTTGAATGGTAGGAATCACTGGATCTGGTTTTTGTCTAGGCAGGAGGTCTTCATGACCTGTTTCTTTAAGCAGATCATATAGAGATAATCTGCTAGAAGGAACAGTAGGGACAGGAGCCTTCCAGCTTCTGGCTTTCTGCTTCGGACCATGATCATCATCATCATAGTGATGATGATAATGTTTGTAGGAACAAAGAGATGTATTCTTTTCTTTTTTCTTCTTTTTTATGGCATATCTGATGGGGTAAGACCATCCATCATCATCTTCATCTTCATCTTCATCGTCAGAAGCTTCCCACCAGTAAGGTGTATCACACTCACAGTCAGGATCACATTCTTCTGGTGCATGATCCCAAATGAAATGGCCATTTATGTGAGGTTCCTGGTCTATCCAAGCAATAGGAGGTTCTCCCTTAGATGAGACATAGGCCGGGGTGATAGTCAGAATACGTCCGGAAGATACAGAAGAACCTTCCTGACCTGGCTTGGTGAACACTGTCTTGACAGTGCCATTTGGAAGCCTTTTTATCTCAGGAGGGGTAGAAGTATGAACATCCCTTTGTACACCATGAAAGTGTTTTTCATAGTTGGTGATCCACTCAAGAGGCATCAGCTGAGCAAGTTCCTCCTTTGGGATTTGTCTAGGAATCTGGATGATGGAGGTATCATCAGCTCTATCAGAAACCACATAAAGAGCATCTTTGGTGGAATTTGGGAAATGAAGATCAAGAGCATGGTTCTGGAGTCTGTAGAGGACTTGATGATGAAGGGTTGCTATGATAGCTCTGGGATCTTGCTCTGCTCCAACTATCTGGACTTGAATTTTTAGTCTGTCCGTCAAAGTTGGATCTGAAAGCTTGATATTGAAATCAGGGGCTATGGTAAGGATGACACTACCATTGCTAAGAGTGGTCAGAACAGCGCCAATCAAAGCATTACTGTAAGAAGTATAGGTAGTATCAACTAAAGCAATTTTAGCAGTGGCTGGAATTCCTTTTCTCCCATGAAGTGTAAGGATAAGGCGTACAGCACCAATATAAAGACGGGTATAGCCTTGAGCTATCCACTCGTTGATCAATGGTTGAGGTATGTCAATAGTGACATATTGTTCAGAGGAAGAGAGAGGAAGACCACAATTTTCTAGTTTGGTAGACTGGACTACTTCTTTAACATGAGGTCTCTGGGTGGGGATCAAGCTTCTAACATTTCTAGTGACGTGATTGGTACGATGATAAACGCTGTAAGGACTAAGAAGAGGTAGATCCGTTTCTTGGACTCTAGCATCTTCAGGAAGATGATCTATCTCAACAAGGTTTTCTATTTTTCTAGAAAGAGTTCTCCGAACAGAGGAGGGAAGTCTTTGTGGAGTAAAGGAAGAAGAAAGGCGAACAGGTTCAAGACTGTTTGAAGTTTCACTCATGATAAGACGGTATCTTCTTACTCACCTTCACTAATGATATCTCACGTCTGTCAAGAATTGTGCTGGCTCTGATACCACTCGGGGTGTTAGCTCAAATAGACCAAGCTAACATAGTCTGATATCCAAGGCTCTAGTCCAGGTAAGGCCATTCATTCTCAACTCATCAACGGGCCACGTTAGGCCTTTGTCATGTAGTGACCCCAAACCCTTATAAAAACCCCACTCTGCCTTCAATTACGGGCAGAAGGAGTTGTATCAACTTCCTTATATAATACTAGTGTGCTTTCCTCACGAGTACACCTCATGATTTTATTAATTAGTAATACTGTAATAGTAATCAATTAATTTCAATTTACCAAGAAGTGTTTCACACGCTTGTTCCGAATGCACCACTAGAGCCGGGAAAACGGGCCGGCCCCCTGAAATTATGAGGGTCGGGCTTGATATTTTTCTCTTAAAATGAAACATAAGCCCTAGAGGGCCGAGGGCTTAAAAGGGCCGGCCCTGGAGGGCCACGGGCCGGCCCTTTTAAGCCCTTTTATATTTTTTTTTTATTTTTAAAATTTTTTTATATAATATTAATGTTATTAATTTTTTACATTATTAATAATATTTCAAATGGTTAGTTATTATTATCATTTTAAAAGTAAATTTAGTTTTAGATAATAATTTATCCAATTAAATTTTTAAAAAATGGGTTAATTTGGACTTTAATAATGATTTGATTTATATTATATGCATTGATATTTTTAAACTATATATATATTTGATAATAGAATATTTTTATACTTATATAACTTGTGATTCTATAATTTGAATTAGAAATTCATGAGTTTCAACAGCAATGTTTCTCACATTAAAGTAAAATAGTAGTTAGATTGCAAAATTTAAAAATAAAATTCTTATAAAGAAGAAAAACTTGATATTTTTGTTACGAAAGAAAAGTATACTTATGAAGAAAAGTAATTAATTATAGTGATGATGAATTTTCAAAAGATTAATAATAGTGTTTATTTATTGCACAATTGCATTATAGATAAAACTTTTAGATGTTGTTATCTTGTTAATGAATGTTTTAGATGTTGATGAATATTTATATATGATGATATTTTATATGTGACTTAATTTTATTTATATTTATGTCTTTTATTAATAATTTCATTGATTTATTTTTATAAAAAATATGATAAATATAAAAAATAGTATTTTTTCTTAAACGGGCCAAAAGTCCGCGGGCCAACCCTGACCCTGTAGCTTAAGGGCCGGGCCTAACAAATTGGAGTATTTTTAAAATTCCAGCCCTGGAGGGCCGGCCGGCCCTAATTCCCGGCTCTAGCACCACTCACTGGGACTACGAGGGCGTTGCTCTCTCTCTCTCTCTCCCCCTCCCTCCCCGGCGGCTGCTTCTTCATCTTTTGTTTCTCCCGCTCGACTCTCTTAAATTCCAGCGATGAAGAACGGCCCTGAGATCGGAGGAGGAGACAACGGTTCTTCTTTCATCTCAAGAGAAGAATCGATTTTACAGATAAGAGTTTCACCCCTCTTCCTTCTTCAATGAATATATCCCCCTATTTCAATCTTCATCTTCTATCCTCGACTTCTTCTTCATCCTCCTTCTTTGATCTTCATCCCCGTTCTGTATGAGACTCAATACCCCGTTCTGTAATTTCGCTCCTGCGAAGTTCGACTTCCACGTTCTCCCGATCTCTGCGCCTCTGCCTCTGGACGGTAGCCGTCGTTGGCGGCTGTATCTGCATCTCTGCCTCTCGTTGTTGCGTCCTTTTTATGGCTCCAGATTCTCGCCCTCGAACGTATCAGATCTCAACCTGAGTTCAGTGCCCTGCGCCCTCGCCTCTCCTAGTTAGCCATCTACTTCGTTCTTCGTGAGTTTGTGTGCTTTTGGGTTTTGGCTTTAGGTTCGTCTTCTCTCCAGACTCCAATTTTAAATTCACTTTATGATTTTTGTTGAATATTGAATGTGTTTGTGTTTTAAATTGAGTACTGACTAATCCTAAGTGCTTGTGTGTTCGTGAGAAGATTAGTTAAATGCGCTCTGTATATGCTTATTTCAATTTTCAACAGTAAATATTTAGGTTTGGGAGATTGCAAGACAATGACCGCGGTAAAGAAGTCCTAAAGCCAAATTAGACTTGATTCCAAATAGAGTAAACATTTATCATGTCATAAGTCTGTACATGAATTGGGCATCTTTAGTTGTGGTCTACTTATAGTTACGTAATCTTGGCCACCTCTTTCATGTTATCGTTTGAGGCTCTTCGAGCATCTTGGAAGAAGCAATTGGAATGAGGTGTTGAGACTTAAGACTTTCAAAATGAATGGAAATATGCATTACCTTAGGCGTGCCTAACTAGCTAGCTTCACTGTCAGTTACCAACTTAATTACCATTGTTGTTTTCAAATGAATTTTCAATTGATGTTGCTTGAGCAATGAAAACGTCTTCTAACCAAGCATAAAGCTGAGCAGACTAAAAAAGGAAGGGAAAATCATGAAAGTTCCCCCCATGATTCCAAGTGGAACTTGAAGTTAAATTAGAGATCATATTACTGTATTAACCTATTATTTGTTTGACTAAATGCAGTGCTGCTATCTCCGTGCTAGTCTCCCAGTGAATTACGTGGAGTCTTGCGTTAAAAAGTGTAGCTTCCCTGCTTGTTCAGTATCCTCTCTCAAGTTAGAACTTGACTTCACTCATCAAACAGTTCCTTGGAAGCAAAACGTTTGAAAACAATTCCCCTTTTGAAATTTGTGGTACACTATGGCAAGCACACGTTCCTGCAAAAGTTGTAGGAAAACTTCTCTTGTTAGGGATGATGTGTCTGGGGATTTGATATGTTCCTTGTGTGGTGTTGTTCAAGAATATGATCAGTTTGAAGCCCATATCGGTGGCATCAATGGCCCGCAAGGAACATTCATCCGTGTTGGAACTTCTGGTGCAGGTACTATATATAGTTACAAAGAAAGGAAATTCTTTCAAGCCCAAAGTTTGATAGATGAATTAACTTCTAGATTAGGTATATCTTCAAAAATGAGTGATATTAAAGCGATGATTTCTACCATCACAGAGGGTGAATTTGGGCAAGGTGATTGGTTTCAGGTTTTAATTGGTGCATGTGTGTATATAGTGATGCGAAAGGATAATCGCCCAATGTCTATGGCTGAAGTGGCATGGGCAGCCGGATGTGATGTTTACGAATTGGGTAGGATGATTAAACGAGTTATTGATTTTATGGATCTGAAAAAATCGGATTTTCCAGAGTTTGATATCGTGCATTCATTGGAAAGGGTCCTTAAGATTTCGCCATCTTTTGCTAGAATTGACAGGAGCAAAGTAGACAGAATGCGCAAGCAGGGGATATTTTTGTTACAGTGTGCAATGAAGTGGTTTTTAAGTACCGGACGTAAGCCACTTCCATTGGTAGTTGCTGTTTTAGTTCTGGTAGCTGAATTGAATCAAGTTGAAATTGGAATTAGCGAGTTGGCCAAGGAAGTTCATGCTGTTGTTTCCACTTGTAAAACACGATACAAAGAGCTTTTAGAGAAACTTGTAGAAGTGGCACAAGTTTTGCCTTGGGGAAGAGATATCACCACCAGAAACATTGTTAAACATGCACCATCTGTAATTAAGTATTTGGAGACAAAGGCTATGTTGAAACCTGTTGATAAAAGGAAAGACCTAGATCTTCCTGAGTCTAACTTGGCAGAGATGGTTAGTGAATGTTTAAGACAACTCGATGAAAATGGACACAAGACTGATTCCATAAACGTGCCAAGTGATTCTCATTGTAGCATATCACAAAACAATATTCACTCTACAAGACCAAGTGCTAGGGATGCAAACAAACTGCTTTATTCACCTGAATGTTTATCCATGTTGTATGAGAAATCTTCCGAGAGGGTCGATCTTCAGGATTGTAGCGAGTGGTGGAATGGAAAATCAGAATTGAGCAAAAAGCTTGTACTCAAACAGTTACTCGAGAAGGATGTCGGATTCGAATCCATGCCACCTTCTTTTATTTCAAACTGCTTGAAATGTGAGATGAGAAGAGAGAAGATCAATGCTGCTAAGGTGCGCATAGATAGAATAATGCATCCATGGAATTCTGATTTGGGTGCCGATTATTCTGAGAAAAAGTTCAAGAGAAGAAGAAAGCTTGTTGATGGAGTTGATTGGGAAGACCTGATTATTGAGACCTTACTTCTTCACCAAGTAAAGGAGGAGGAAATTGAGAAGGGATACTACAATACATTGCTGGATTTACATGTGTTTAACTCTGGCATTGTATGAGATTTTCCTAATTTTCTGGCTTTGTAATTAGCTCCTGTTTGGAGTTTCTCATCAGTCCGTATAGCGTTTTTGCTTTTCTTGTTATGTTTTTTTTTTTTCTGGCGAATTATCTACAGGTATCTCCATTATTAATACTTGTTGATAGAAGATAAAATTTTATTCAACTAAATTTATATGAATTCGTGAGTCTGTTCCCTTTTCTAAAGTATAATGAAAGTTTAATCATTTGAGTTGTTTTATACAGATAAAAAGAATATGCAAGTACATAAATTAGGCCATTTTTGCATACATAACTTTAATGATATTTTGAAATGGAGCTGGTAAGTTAGACGCCATGCAACCCTATGCATATATGAATAAACATGTGCATAAACTTTTCACCTTGCATAAAAATGTCGAACGTTATAGCTTTTCCCACCCCTTTTTTCAATAATTTTATCAACTTTATATTTTATCACTTGTTTTTTTATATTTTTCTCAATTACTTTTTTCAATCATATGCATTGAAACTACTTTTTGATTAGGAGTTTCATTAATATAAGCAATCAATAGGTATTTAAATAAAAATTATATAGTTGGGAGATAAAATAAATTAAAATCTTATAGTTATGATTTAAAATGAACTATTTGTCTAGCTCTTGTCTACAGCATGAGAGGTAGTATGTTTTTTTAATCTTATTTATAAGATACTTCCAACATATTTTACACAGGCCAAGAAAAATCTTAAAATGCATTAACTCTATTAAAACATAACAACTTTTCAAATTTACTCCTATTTAACATATACATCTTAAAAAAAAAACTATATATACTATAATAAATGAAGAACGAAATAATATATTTATGTTAAAAATTTAATGAAATAACTTATAAATAGGATTAGTAAAATCTTTTCTCTCTGTCCTATAAATAAGATTATAAAAATATTATATAAAAGCGAGTCGTAAAGTAGTTTCCTCAATTGCGTACACCACGCGCACCATTGAACTTACAGCGACAATTTCATACATATAAACAAATGATCCCCCGCCACGCGGTGCCTACCCGTTAATTCTAAGAGGTCAAGCTCGAAAGATTTTGTTGGAAGATTCCACACGATTAATTGACGATCGGTAACTTAATTAATTAATAAAGCCCTAATTATAAAATAATAATCTGGTGATTGTGACTCCTATTTTTACTGTTCCGGTCCTAAATATAAGACCTATTTTGTAGTGTAAAATATAAAACCTATTTTATGGTGTAAAATATAAGACCTATTTTATATTTAGAACCGGAATAATATTAATTAAGGTTTATTTCTTGTTGGGGTTGTTTTCTCATAACCCTACAAATATCCAAAGCATTTTCCATGCACTTTCACATCATGACTCTAGAACAAACATAGGTCTATAGATAAAGAGTGCATAGACATTGTCATCAACTTCACAATTAAGCAAATTGATTGGAGGGCAAGAAATCTTCCTGGGGACCACACGTGTGTGACATCATAGTACTATTTCTTATAGATTTGTCTCAAATTATTATTTTGCTTGGCTTCAATAGGACAACATAAAGTCGTGTCTCTCTTTTGCCTATAAATAGACCATATGGTTTTATGATTTCTTCTATACAGTCCTCTAGGAAGCTTAAGACATTTGCTTCCCAAGCATTAAGCTCTCTTCAATTCCAACTTTCATCATGACGGTAATAAAAGATATTTATTTCTGATTGTTATTTTGTTTCTTCACTTTTTATTAGAAATATTTGAATATCATATCGTCACTTCTAGCTATAAAAATTATTGCACCACCTCCTCTAGACAAGAGATTTATTTTAACCATAAATATAATATCTCAATCAACTTTATCTTTTAAATTTATAATTTTTCTTTAAAGTATCAATATTGATTACATATAATAATCAAGGAGCAATTACAAATGCACATGATTAAAAAAGATATCTTTGTAAAACTAATATACGTTTGTTATAAATAAGATGGGGTGGACCAAGTATAAACCTAGGTATTTTACCAGTAATGCTCTGTAGCACACATGTATCATTGATAATTTCTTTTGTTATTATTTCAGAATATACATTTCGTATCTTCATTTTTTTTTTTGGTGCTTTAATGTATATATCTGTTCGTGTGTGTGTCTGTATATATAAACAGAGCAGTGCCTTTCTTTGTTTTGGCGTGTGCTTTAAACTCTAGATGGACTATTATTGTTGTAAGTGCAGCCTCAAAATTCAATTATGTCAGTGAATGCTATCATTTGTTCTAACCTTTGGTTTTCTCTTCTCTTGTTTTGTTTTATACACACACACGCACACGCAGATAGTAGAGATCAGCGTGAATATAGACTGCGAAGGTTGTGAACGCAAGATAAAGAAGGCCCTTCAAAAGCTACCTGGTAAGAACCTTACGGTTTTCTAATCTCTGATCTAAATTATTATACATATACTCCTCCGGTCCTTAATATAAGACCCATTTAACTAATTTGATTAAATTAAGGAAGTTAGGTAAGTTAGTTAATTATAAGAAAAGTGACACATTTTTCCTAAAATACCATAATCATCTTTTTTAATACCTTCTCTCCCTCTTCTACTTGATTATGGTTGAGGGAGTATCCATAGGGGTAATTTAGAGAAAAATGATAAATATGAGAAACGGGTCTTATATTTAGGACCAAAACCAACTTAAGAATTGGGTCCTATATTAAGGACCGGAGGAGTATATAGTAGCATTATCAAGGTGTTTAATCCATACGTTTTTAATAGTCAATGAAAATGTTTGCAGGAGTTGATGATGTTGACATAGACATGAGAATGCAGAAGGTAACTGTGATGGGATGGGCAGATCAAAACAAGGTTCTGAAGGCTGTGAGGAAGACTGGTAAAAAGTCAGAGCTGTGGCCATATCCATACGAACCAGAATATCAGGGCTTCGTCCGCCATTACTGCAACAATAATAACAACTACAGCTATGAATATGACAATGATGATGACGATAATGGAAGAAGAAGACGAAGAAGAAGATCTGTTTCCAACTATTATTCTTCGTCTTCTTCTTACAACCATTACAAGCATGGGTATACTAATGGAGACGACTTTGGGTACTACCAGCAGCCAATTGGTTCAATGGTGGTCAGTGAAAAGGCCATGTCTGTGTTCAGTGATGAAAACCCTCATGCTTGTGCTATAATGTGACATGTATATATATTCAGTTTCATGTGTTCTTCCCCCCCCCCCTTTCCGAAGAATAAATTAGGGTTTGCTTTTATGTGTGAAATGTAAATAGAGTGGGAACAAGGTAAGCTATATATAATGCCAACAGAGGTAGTGGATTATTGCGTACGTATATGGTGGATGTTTGATTAAATTCATGTGTTATTTGATTATTAAAATGGTCAATCTCGCAAGGAGAGCTTGTAAACACTATACAAGTAAAGGTTAAAAAAACAAGCTAAGGAGCGCTATTTATATTTTTTTATTTGGTACTCTTTTTGTCCTTAATGTATGATTTAATTGGAAAGTTGATATTGATATTATAGATTTAACTTATTTCACATATTTATTATTTTTTTTTCAAATTAATGTTATTGTTATTCCCACAATAATAATAATAAAGTAAAAGAGAGAGGGAAAAAAATTAAAAAAATATGCTTAGGGTGTTTTAGAAAAAACAAATCATATTACCAACTCACATTTTTACTCTACTCAAATTAGCTAATTAAATTTTATATTAAGGACCATAAGAGTAGTATTGTTTAAGTGCCACAAGAGCCTGTGTTACCAAATGTTGCGATAGCGCTCGTAAATATTACTACCTCCTGAGTCCTATCTCTAATATAAAAGTTAATGGAAAAGTTAAATTTGGTTCTAAATATAATATCATAATTATTTTTGCCCCCCTTATTTATCTAAACCAAATCTATTGGTTGTGTATGTATGTTAAGGTACTTTGCATCAAAAGTAGTTTCAATCCAAATGATTTAAGAATGTATTTTAAGAAAATCATCACATATTTTTAACATACAACTAATTTGATTACTTTTCTTAATCTACTCAAATTAGTTAAATATATATTATATTAAGATGAAAGATAATAATATTTTATTGTCAACAGTGAGTTACCCTAGTGGCATTATGAGCTCAAAGCAAATTAAACTATAAGGATCAAACATTATACTTACTTTAAGATATTACTGCGTGTAAGTGAGTGATTTAAAACGGTAAAAATGCCCCTGGGCCTTTCTTCTAAATAAAGAAGATATATAAGTATATATTTGTTTGTAAGTTATTTTAATTAAAAAAACTTGTTAAATATATATTCGTTCAACCCGTCACTGGAGATTACGCCAGGCGACCTGGTGGTTGCTGGCATTTTTTTTTTTTTTTTGCCAGGAAAATTATTTAAGGAAAGCGTTGGGATGGGATTTGATCCCACGGGCCAGCAAAAGGATAGACCACTGTTAGATCAATAATTTCTTAACATTATAATGCAAAAAAAGAAAGTTAAGTTTTTTACTCTAGCTTTATCTCATGAAAATAATTTATCTGGAAAAGACAAGTCTTCATTAAAAAATAACAAGTTTAAACTTGATATTATAACAACGCGTTCTTTCTTGATACATAATGTGAAATAACATGCGAATTAATTAAAAATGACCACAATTTATCTAAAAATGATAAGTTTTGATTGGAAAATTATAAGTCTAAACTTGAGATTAACAACATGTTTTTTCTTGATACATAACATGAAATTAAAAAATAAAGAGATATTTTAATTTTATCATTTTTCTTTAATTTTAAAATTTCAATTTGAGTTCATTTTCCCCTTTTTCATTTTTCAATCCTTAACTTTTTAAATTGAGAAATTGTAATTTCAGCCTTTTTTTTGGGTCATTTTCCCAAGGATCTATGACCAATTTTCTCTTTTTATTTAACCGTCAGCATGTCTATCAATATCAAATGAATTTAAGAAAAATTTGTAATGTATGCATCGGGGTTCGATTCTAGTACATGGGCACCTTTTGTTTCAACTCGTTTATCACGAAGCTAACCGGTCTTACGCGCTTTACAAGTGTCGAGTTTATTGCGAGTTTGCGCGAGTCACTCATGCTTTGCTTTAGTCTTAGTATTATGGAGTCCAAGCGAGTTTGATAACAAATTAACACATTATGCAATCATAAAAACAACTTGCAAGACTTTTTTTTTTTTTTGCTATGTATATCATATCATCCATTTGAGGCAATCATATCTGACATACTATCAGAAATCAAATATGAGCATAACTTTTAATAAGAATTTGAATTTTAGTTTATCACTACGAGAGACATATCTCTTTTACTAAATCTGGTTCTTATTAATAAGGTAATTAAATCTTTTTTTAAAGATTTGATTATAATTCTCCCTAGTTATAACTACTCCCTCAGCTCACTATGGGCCTCAATTCCTGAATTTTTGATTTGTCTGTTAACTCAATCCTTTGTCTTTTTAATTTTTATATTATTATTCTTGTCGGTTATAACTTAGTTTCTTTATGGGAAAAATATTAGCAACATTGTTAAAATTGCTTGCAACTCGGTTTGGGTCTTTTTATAGAATTTAAACGAAAGATGAAGGACTGGCGAGGTTTCTTCCTAACAATTTCTTCTCCCGTCCGTCCATTCCTTCATTCTTTCGTTTAAATGTGATAAAAAGACCGAAGATGAATTGCAAGCAATTTTAACAATGTTATTAATATTTTTGTCACGTACGTGGGAAGTGGGTTATAATTTACAAGAATAATAATGCAAAAAACGTAAAAGAGTTTAGAAATTGAGTCCCATTGAGTAATAATTAAGGGATTGAATTATGAGTGATTCAAAAATTGAAAGATGAAAAAGATTAATTTTTCCTTTTTTTAGACAAGACAAGATTCTTCATCCTATGTAATAAATTGAGATATTAAGATTTTTTTTCTATGAAGATAAAAGTACATATTTAATTTTTTTTAACTTTATACAAAGTTTTGATTTAATATATTAATTTTATAAAGTGATCGGTTTAAGAAGAGCACAAAATAGAATATATATGAACAAGGGTCAAGGGATGCAAATTAAAAATCATGAGTTTACCCTTATATTTGATATTTTAATTTGGTTTTAGCTCCATGTGCTCGTACATCATCATTAAACCCAAAACAATGAAACAAAGAGAAAAGTATAACTAAAATGAACTAACTTTAAACCACAAAAACATATATAGTCTGCATGCATATTAGGTGTAGTTTAATAGTCTGCTTGTGTTCACGCCACCGTCAGACTTTGACCCAAAAAAAAAAAAAAAAAGCCACCATCGGACAATCAAATCTAGAAGATTTTTTTTTTTTTTCATTTCATTTTGTTTTAAGAACGATAGTTCTAGAGTCATATCTATTTTTTCTTTTTCTTTGTAAATTTCACTCAACATTACTGTTGCTCTATTTGCTTTTTAATCCTTGTGGTACTTTGTTGTTTTATTATATTTTAACTCTTTACTAAAAAAGTAGTCTGCTCCCGGTCAAACTCTAACAAAACTAGTCCTAATTAAATTCATTTATTTTAAATATATGCCAGCTAATTTAAATAAAAATATTAACAATAACAACATATACAGCAGATTTAAAGCTTACTTCAGATAAAAAGAACAAAACAAAGTTAAAAATACCAAGGATCTTCTGAGACGGAGAATCCTAGCCTCCAAATTTGTGAATTAACAAAGTTCAACTAGTAGTCGCTGGTTTGTGAAGAAAGGTCAAGATATAAACATCTTCAACATTCAGTCCCAAAAAAAAAAAAAAACATCTTCAACATATCCTTGCATTAGTTTTGAAAGATTTTGTACTGTTCTAATCCATAATTTTTTAAGAATCTTTAGAACACTTCTGAGCATATTTTTAGAGGAAAAAATGCATTTTGACGAAAATAAATAATTTCCAAAGGTTTTTTTCCCATCTTTCTGTCACTTGTCTCTTTGTATAATTTTTTTGTCTAGAAAAGCAAAGTACGTCTAATATTATGACACGATATTTGCATAGTGCACGTGGAGGAAATGTTTGTGCATGTGCACGGTGGACGCGCGCACACATATTCATTTTATGGTTTTACTATCTTGCCATGATTTAGTTTTAAAGGGAAAATTAAACCCTAAGTCCTTATAGTTATAGTGAGTTTTGAATTAGGTCCTTACACTATTTTTTCCTTTTAAGCACTACTTATAATTTCAGCAGTTGATCACATTGATCCTTCCGTCTTCAAAAATGTCAAAAGGACATAACGACATTAACTTGTTAAAGCGGATGATGGTTCATTGATCGGCTGACTTGCTGAAGGGCATTTTGCTGTCTCTCTCGCCAAATACGTTGCTGATCTCTCCCATCTATTCATTTGAAACAGAGGCTAGTTCACTCTGGTCTCATCCAGTGGTGAAATAGATATTGAAAAATCAACATATTTCAGTTTTCCGAAGTCCTTACCTACACGTACCCAAATATTAACAAGATTTGCCATTGCAGACTTTTGTATGTAGATACAGGTTTTTTTTCATTCTTTTGGGATAAAGCCAAATAGGAGAAATCCATTTTGAGTAAATTAATAGACCAAAACAAAAATAAAATTTTCAATTTTCTAATTGACACCATGGCTAAATTATTACTTAATCAATGAAATCTGCGTGCCAGCTATCAAAAAGTGGAAGTTTTTTCCATTCTAATTCTACCCGTATTGATGTGAAAGGTTTATAAACAAAATAATGAGGAAAAATGAAGAAGACAGATAAATGTTAATCAAAATCTTCAACCCATATGTGGTACAAAAATTTTGGTCTCTAATAACTTAACAGCATCATCTAGGTACTGGTCTCTCCGTAGCCTACATAAATCTCATAACATTCAACTATAGTAATGCCAAGCCACAACTCTGTATGTCCCTGTTTTTGGGGTCAAAAACAGAGCAAATAAAATAATGCTGTGGCATAGTCTTTTTTAATATATTATGAAAAGCAGAGGTAAAAATATTAATTTTCACTTTACTATAGTCATGGTGAATATTGTTTTGCATTTTTGATTGCCTTACAATGTTAAAATCTTTTCCACCTCACAAAAGCACTCAGACTCATCCTCTCGTTGACCACCACTGATGTGGGTATGAAGGATTTCAGGCATACCTGAAGTCTGCTATGAAGTCAAGTTGCCACGTGGAGGTCCGATCACGGTGACGGAG